TTTTTAGTTCAATTACAATTCATTCCTTTGATATCACAGCTCAAAATATTTACTCACTCATTTTAACACTTCAGTTAAAGTTTTGACTGAAGTGTGACTGCTAAGCTAGAGGGACTGGAAATTCATAAGTAAGAATAATTCCCAGCCATCATCATCACCAAGGCTTAGAAACCAGGGGTGAAATGCTCCCAGTTCGGACTAGATCGCCTGATCTGGTAGAGATGGTGGCAGGTGGTTCGGAGAACCAGTAGCAAAAATCCCTGTCCCCCCCACCCCCATGCCCAGCTGAGCCATGCGATCTTCAGAGGCATTTTTTTTTACTTTTAAAAGCATTTTTTCTACAACTTCTGAAGAGGTTGTTTAAAAAATGCTTTTAAAAGGCTCTGACGATCCCAGCTAAGTTGCCTGATCGTCAGAGGCTTTTCTTTCTTTTAAAAGCAAAATGCTTTTAAAAGTAAAAAAATGATTGTGCGCTATAGCTGATCACCCCCCCTCGTGCGCTGTTCTACTTACTGCATGCCTCCTTTTGGCGTGCACTGCACACACGCAACTCACATTTGGTGCATGGTGCGCACTGCGCGTGCGCAGCCAGTGAACCGGTGGTAAACCGGTTCAGATTTCACTACTGTTAGAAACTCTTTCTTTCAATCCCAAAGGTGCTTTTTTCAAGAGGCAACCGGACTTCCTGGTTTTTCTTTGAATACATTTCGCTTCTCATCCAAGAAGCTTTTTCAAGAACTGAAGAAGCTTCTTGGATGAAAAGCGAAACTTCTTCAAAAAAACCCCAGAAAGTTCAGTTGCCTCTTGAAAAAAGCACCTTTGGGACAACCATGATCTGGATGGCTGAGAATATTCATAGACATCTTTCTTTCAATGTCTCCCATTATTTGCACATTTTTGCAGGTATTTTATATCCTATCAGGAGAGTTTTGTATAGTTTTTATTATCCTTCAAAGACTTGATTTATGCATACAACTTCAGATATCCTATTCTTTTCTCATTGGTTCTCATTCCAATGAAGTCATAATACTGCTTTAGTGATGTCATCATTATCTAACAGCAGTGGTGAGATTGCAGGCCCAATCACACAGGTGAATACTGAATCGGTGGAAGGAAGCCAATAAAAGACTGCAGACTCCCAAGAGAAAGTTTACATAGAGAAACTGGGAATGTTTCCAACATCCATCAGAAATGTTATATTTAGATAGCATGGTAAAGAAGGCATTGACAGTTCTGTAATAAAAAAAAACTGGAAATGAAACCTGGAGATTCAGCCAAGGTGCACCTGAATCTTAAAAATCATGCTAATAGAGAGAGGGTTTTTTTTCATGCTCTTTGTCTCCCAAAAAGTGGGCGATGAAATATGAATCTTCTCATTAAGAGAGGTCACAATGGCTTTCCCACTAAATAGGGACTTTATTTGAAAAGATTTTCACTTTTTTTCCTTCCATATTTTTACCCTGCAGATAGTTTGTGAATGAATTTAAATTTTTGAAAAATACTAGCGTTATTAAAATATTGTTTGAGAAATGTCACATGGGACAAGAATACCGTCAGGCACAAGAACCAAAAATGACAGGTAGAGTTACTTAAGAGTAGTTTCTTTTATTGTTCTTCACCTATAGACAGAATCTTGCCAGACTAAACAACTATGTGCATAACAATAGATATTCTCTGCGAGGGGATGTTCTTACCCTCTTCTTGCCTACCAAATTTTCCAAGCTTCATTGACTCTTTGCCCTTTAGGAAGCAGTCCCTCCCTCCTGGGACTCCAGACTACATTCCTCTACAAATATCCAAATTCAGTATACAACAATAATTATTTAATATATGAATCAACAAATTATTTATTGGCATCAGTTATGAGCTAAACTAGTTGACAGAGTATTCTGCCCAAAATAGCTAATTCCCTATACTTCCCAAAACTCTGTAGGTTGTGTGGTGCAAGGGAAGATGGGAGGGCCATACTCTCATCTTTCCCACCTCCCTCCAACCTCTACACCCAATCAGCTGCTGTCAAGGTCCAACAGGTAAGTGGTGATTGGTGGTTTTGAAACTGAAGTTGAAATTTGAAAACTTTTAACACTGTGAGGGAAGGATGAGGAGGTGACTCAGATGCTTGCTGGTGCGGTAGGTCTGGCTGCGGGTAGTAGCAGTCGACAGGTGAACCCTCCTCCTCTCTGGAATAAGAGGGCTTGTGGGGACAAGCCAGAATGGGGACCGGGGCGAAGTTTTCGCCATGTTCGTTCTCTTTCTCCTCGACAGATTGACTGGCAGTTCTGGGGGGGGGAGGGAGGAGCAATGTCAATGGTGAAGCTGGCAAAAAGTCATTCCAACTACCACTGCCTTTTTTGCCCATTCATGGTCGTTCTGTTTCTCTGTTTATGTAGGGAAAGAGCTTGGTAGTACAGTGGTCTAAAGCACCCTGTTATTAAGACCAGCTGCCTGCAATTACTGCAGGTTCGAATCTCACAGGCTCAAGGTTGACTCAGCCTTCCATCCTTTCTAAGGTAGGTGAAATGAGGACCCAGTTTGTGGGGGCAATAAGCTGACTTTGTATAAATATACAAAAGGATGAAGGCTATTGCTTAGCGCATTGTAAGCCGCCCTGAGTCTCCGGAGAAGGGCGGCATATAAATCAAATTTAAATATATATATATATATATCTCTGAAAGGATGACCCAATAGGTCCGTGATGGTGAACCTATGGCATGCGTGCCAGAGGTGGCACGCAGCGCCCTCTCTGTGGGCACATGAGCCGTTGCCCCAGCTCAGCTCTGCTGCACATATGCACATGCCTCCTGCTGGCCACCTGGTCTCAGGTCTCTGCTGGGCATGCACGGGGTGTGGGGCGCACTTGGTGGGCGTGCATGCACAGGGGGTGGGGTGCTTCTGGGGCACATGTGCACATGTACGGAGGTGTGGTGCATCCAGGGGGGCTCTGCATACATTGCATTTTGGGGGTTCAGCCATGCGCATTCATGCATGCACATGCGTGCACATGTGTACTTTGGGCACTTGGTCCGGAAAAGGTTAGCCATCACTACAATAGATTGTCTAGATACGTATATGTGCAAAAAAAAAAAAAAATCTCCTCAACCTGAACATATGAAATGAAAGATGCTTTTATGGGGTACATATCCTGAAGAACAAATTGGAATAAATATTGGAACAAATCCACTTTCCCAATTCTGAAAAGTATTGTTTTTTGAACATTGATAATAACCATTCTCCAAATATTTACTCAGGGTGAAATTGTGTCTCCTGGCACCTAGACATTTATCTCAGAGATTTTTCACTAGCCATCAATATTCTACAGTCTTTGACAAATATTATCGTATGACAGTACCTGACAGTTAATATGAAACAACACTCTATTTGACAGTATCAGAAAGATATTTTATTGCAGCTCACTTATTTAAGAGTAAAAAGCAATTGACTTTTGATATCACATTTTAACCTTCTAAAACTAAGAACTTGAACAATTTATAATTTTGAAATACCCAAAGCTCCATTTCAGCTCTAATGTCTGCAGGAGTGCATTGACTGATGTTCCTAATGTCAGATATGCAGATCAAACAAATGTGCTTGCTGGTATATATGTTACAAAAAATGGGAACACTTGCCATTTATTGCCGTAATACTAATTTTAATGAAAAGCTAGATTGTTAGGATCTTTTGTGTTCAAAATTCCAAAATATACACAATTTTGCAGACAGTTGGGATACTAAGGGATAGATTACCAGCACAGCAGCTATTATCTGCCCTGGTCTATGGTAATGAGGGGGAAGCAGCCAGGTATAAGAAGGGCAGCCATGTTGGAGGATAAGTGATGGAAGGCTGGATAAGCAAGCTGCACTTTATTACATATTACTACTGAAATGTCAGCCTGGACATCTCTTACTATTGGCCAAACTGGCTAGGTTTGCTGGGAATTACAATTTCAACAACATTGGAGAACCACATATTCCTCACCCCAGATGCAAGGCAGGACAGTGTTTTTCAACCCTGGCAACTGTGACATGTGTAAACTTCAACTCCCACAATTCTTCAGCATGGGTGACTGGGGATTTCTGGGAGCTGAAGTCCTCACAGGTTAAAGTTGCCAAGATTGAAAAACACTGGATTAGAGACTAGAAAGAGTCAAGATGTACCATCTTGTGGTACATCTTTAATTATAGAGCAGGAGGTAGAAATGAGTAAAGAACAAGAACTAGGCACGTGTAAAACACAGTTATGAAAAGGGGGAGTGATTAAAATATGAATATATACATAAATATACATATGAGAACAGAAAGTGGGCTTTAGCAAAGTTACAGTTCATGGGCTATTCATGAAAGGTTATAGATTAATTAAAGATATGTGTTCTTCAACAGCCACCCACTGGGTGCAAAGACATTTAAAATAGCCGTTTTGTCTCTTGTTTATGTATGGTAATAAGCCAAAAATAGTTATGATTTTATCTGTGAAATAAATGGCATTTACAGGGAAGGGGGAAGTATACCCAATGAAAAGTGCACTTTCATACTTTGGAGATTAAATCTAGTTAATACTTTGCTGAATTAGATATTGTTAAATTAGAAAAATGATTTTGTAGCCTGAGCCCATACATCGTATTAAGTTACAGTTTCTTAAACAAGCTACAATTGTCTGGATTCATGCAACATGCCAAGCCATAAAAAATGGTTTAGAAATCACAATGACTGTGTTCAACTAAGCAGCAGCTAAGCCAATAAATACAAAAAGTCGCGATTTGGAAGCAGAATGTTCTAGAGCGCCATGTCCTTAATATCTTGAAGCACTTCCTATTTTGGAAATTTACTTCTGGAAACAGACACATCCCTCTAGGAATGGCCTAGTCCAGAAAGGAATCAGCATATTGCAGATGGGTAATAGAAAGTTCTTCAGAAATTCCATTCCTGAATTATGGAATTTTGTTCATCCTTACCAGGCTCACCATCTCTGCAAGCCCTTTTTGGAAGTATGTGTATACTACTTACATATAATTTGGGAGAATGAACTCATCAGGTGCTATTGACACCATGGGTACCGGTACTATTTTCTCCCTTATTCCGGCACTATCCAAAAACAGCCTCATGGAGCGTGAAATCTGTTAAACTTTGTACCTATTTGGAGGGAAGGGAGATGACTGCAGTGATTTTAACAGAAGCAACAGGAGGAGGCTAGGGATAAGCAAAGATAATGCCAATCTAGTTTTCTGCTTTCTCGAGGACAGCTGGAGAGGACCCAGCAGGGGAGAAAGGTACCATGCTCAAGGAACTACCGCTGCTCCAGGGGTGGGTTCTACTTACCTTTACTACCTGTTCACAACAGGATCGTGCACGCACGCTTCGCTCGCACACGTGCCTTGCTTCTGCACATGCGCAGATCGCTTCTGATGACATCAGGGTCAGTGGGCGGAGCCTCCCACCGGTTTTACTACCTGTTCTATAGAACCGTTCCGAACCGGGAGCAACCCACCACTGCGCTGCTCTTATATTTTCTTCCTCCACTATTTCAGGCAAGATGTAACTATTTTTCCCTCAGATGCTACTTTCTGAACATTTGACATTCCAGCCTACAATTAAGGAATTATAGGCTTATCTGGAAGGAAACAAAATTGCAGAGCCATCCCAATTGGTCTAGGAAAGAAAACACTTAAGAAAGTGAGAAGAAACTGGCATTCTCTTTTTTAGACACTAGAGGGCAGTAAATGTATTCACTTAAGAGCCATTTTTAAGAGTGGACAGAAACAGCACTCTGCACTTCAAGAGGGGAAAAAAAGTCCAGTTGCCTTTTGAAAAAGCACCTTTGGGTGCACTTTGCGCTGTTAGCTTTTGTAACAGAGAGAACAATCACTACTACTTTTTGTGCTATTGAGACAAGATCCGATAAGAGATAAAATGGTCACCAATCTGGATGTCTTGAAAAGGAAATTTGATAAATTAAAGTGGGATCAAGCTATCGGTGGCTGTGCAAACTATAATTGGGTTGGAGGAATCATAGAATCCTACATTCTAATTTTGGGGGACCACAATCAGAAAGGTGTTATTGCACTCTTCTGTTTTGGGTTCCCCACAAATACTTGCTTTGACTGCTATTGAAACATAACGTTGGGCTAGAGAAATCTTGGTTTGATCTAATCCAGGGGTCAGCAACCTGCGGCTCTGGAGCCACATGTGGCTCTTTCACCCCTCTGCTGCAGCTCCCTGTCACTCAAAATATGCATCACAACTGCCAATGTGCGACACCCGCCAGCATACGATTTATAGAGCTTTTTAACCCCCGGTAGGCCAACCATGGATAAATCCAAGAAAAGAAAAGTTTCAGAAGAAAACAGAACGTTTAATTCAACTACATATGCTAGTTTTGTGGCCGCTCAAGAAATAGGCAGGCACGGGAAGGGTTATGTGGTTCCCGGCGTTTTCTTTTCTGTGGGAAACAGGTCCAAATGGCTCTTTGAGTGTTGAAAGTTGCAGACCCCTGATCTAGTTATACAGTGCTTCATTTGATTGTATGCAGGTATAATAACTTAGATCAGTGGTTCTCAACCTTCCTAATGCCGTGACCCTTTAATACAGTTCCTCATGTTGTGGTGACCCCCAACGATAAAGTTATTCCTAAAACCATAGAAAATATGTGTTTTCCGATGGTCTTAGGCCAGGGGTCCCCAACCTTTTGGACCTCAGGGACCACCAACTTCATAATTTTAAATTTCGCGGACCACTAATACAAATCCAGTGCGCCGCTTGCTGAAGCACCTGGACTCCCAATGACGGGTTGGGGTCCTTCAGGCACTCTCCCTCCTCTTTGTCTCTCTCTCTCTGTCTCCCACTCTTTCTCTCTCATTCTCTCTTTCTCTCTCTCTCATTTTTGCTTTCTCTCTCTCTCTCCCTCTCTTTCTTTCTCTCCCACTCTTTCTCATTCTCTCTTTTTCTCTCTCCCCCCTCTCTCTCCCCCACTCTCTCATTCTCTTTCTCTCTCCCCCTCTCTCTTTCTCATTCTTTCTCTCTCCCCCCTTTCTCTCTCTCCCCCCCCTCTTTCTCTCCCCCCTCTTTCTCATTCTCTCTTTCTCTCTTTCTCCCACTCTTTCTCTCTCATTCTCTTTCTCCCCCCTCTTTCTCTCTCTTTTCCCCCACTCTTTCTCTCTCCCCCTTTTTCTCTCTCCCCCCACTCTCTCTCTCTCATTCTCTCTTTCTCTCTGTCCCCCTTTCTCTCTCCCCCCCATTCTTTCTCTCTCTTTCTCTCTCCCCCTCTTTCTCTTTCTCTCTCTCCCCCTCTTTCTGTCTCATTCTCTCTTTCTCTCTCCCCCTCTTTCTCTCTCTCTCCCCCACTCTCTCCCTCTCATTCTGATTCTCTTTCATTTTCTCTCTCTCTCTCTCTCACTCTCTCTCTGATTCTCTCTGTCTCTTTCTCTTCAATCTCTTTCATTCTGTCTTTCTCTCTCATTCTTTGTCTCTTTCTCTCTCTGTCTCATTCTGATTCTCTTTCTTTCTCTCTCATTCTCTCTCTCTCTCTCATCTCATGGGCCAGCCAGTGTCTTGGGGCTGAGAGGAAGTCAAGCATCTCCCTGAGAGACTGAGGGCCGGAAGAAGTGTGGGAGCGAAGCACTACTTGAACTTGTGCAGCATGAGCATTTGCCTTGGTATATTTGCGCCAGCCGATGGCCAAGGCAGCCCTCATCTCTCCACTGAAAGTGCAGCATCAGGATTCTGCCTTGGTATATTTGCGGCTCAAGGCAGCCCTCATCTCCTGCCACTTGGGACTCAGAACAGTAAATGGTGACTGGTCCGGGGAGCAGCTGGATTTTGCTCTCCATTGCGGACGCCAGATCGGCCCCCTGCAAGATCTCATCTTTCAAGGAGCGCTCCCTGAAGTGGCACTGGAAACTTTGGTCGGGCTCCTCGAGAGACGAGAGCTTGCAGGGGGCTGATCTGGTGTCTGCAATGGAAAGCAAAATCCAGCTTCTTCTCTCTGCTGTAAGTGCGGCATCAGGATTCCGCCTTGGTATATTTACAGTGCAAGGCAGCCTTTGTTTCCTGCCACTTGGGACTTGGAGCGGTAAACAGAATCAGGTTTGGGGAGCAGCCGGATTTTGCTCTCCATTGCGGATGCCAGATCGGCCCCCTGCAAACTCTCGTCTCTCGAGGAGACCAACCAAAGTTTCCTGCACCACTTCAGGCAGTGCTCCTCAAGAAACGAGAGCTTGCAGGGGGCCAATCTGGCATCCCCAATGGAGAGCAAAATCTGACTGGTCCCCAGACCAGTCACCATTTACCGCTCCAAGTCCCAAGCATCAGGAGATGAGGGCTGCCTTGTGCCACAAATATACCAAGGCGGAATCCTGATGCCCCACTTACAGCGGAGAGAAGAAGCCAGATTTTGCTCTCTATTGCAGACACCAGATTGCCCCCCTGCAAGCTCTCATCTCTCGAGGAGCCCGACCAAAGTTTCCAGCCCCGCTTCAGGGAGCGCTGATTAGAGAGCAAAATCCAGCTGCTCTCTGGATCAGACACCATTTACCACTCTGAGTCCCAGGCAGCAGGAGAGGAGGGCTGCCTTGCGCCACTGGCTGGCACAAATATACCGAGGCGGAATGTTGTTGCCGTGCAAATGAAAGTAGTGCTTCGCTCCCGCAGCTTCCAGCCATCGCAAACACCGCTTCTTCCCGCTTCTGCCGCCCCCCTCCCCCACCGCCACAACAGCACCATTCATTCCGGATGGTGAGGGCTGTGCTCGTTTTTCTGTATTGCACCACCTGCAAAAATGCAAAAATATGAAAATTTCTCCGCAGACCACCAAAGGACCACCGGTTGGTGACCACTGTCTTAGGCGACCCCTGTGAAAGGGTTGTTCGACCCCCAAAGGGGTCGCGACCCACAGGTTGAGAACCACTGGCTTAGAGGGACTAGTAAGAATCCAGAATACCTAATAAACTAATCCAGGATGTTTACTGGAGTCAGGCCTAAATGAAAGTTTAAGTCTTGCTCCATAGGTTCTGTCATAGCAGATCAAATGATTCATTTCAAGACAGTTACAGCTTGATCAATTTGTTGCAGACATATTTAAAGACAATTATGGCATAAGCAGAGGTGGTATTCAGCCGGTTCAGACCAGTTCACCCGAACCGGTAGCAGAAACTGCCCACCTGCCCTGGCTCTATGTTGTCCTATTTAGGGACATTTTTGAGGTTGAGCGCATGTGCAGAAGGTGCATGTGCGAGCAAAGCACATGTGCGGAAAGCAAGTGCATGTGCAAATCGGGTGCATGTGTGCATGAAGCAAATGTGCATACGTGCGGCGAACCAGTAGCAACATAATGTGCAACCCACCGCTGGGCATAAGCCTTTGTCCTACTTTCTGAGAAAATGGAGGGTTTGCTTCCTACTTACTGTAAACATTCCTTTGCATTCCATCTGAGAAATTATAGTTTGGCATTCAGTTTTTAAAGATTGTTCTTCCCTTATCATCATGCAGTCACTTCCTCTCTAAATATAATAATATATCTAAGGCAAACATTGCAAGATATAGCTCTTAAGAACGAACCATGTTTACAACCAAAGCTAACAGGTAATAAATAATAAGCTGCTAATATAAAAAAAAAATTTTTTTTTAAAGTTATAACTGTAAATTTACAACTACTTAGGTACATGAATAGAGTTATGGCTGCTGAAATAGCGATTGCAGCCTACAATGAGAATACAATGGACTTTCTCCAGCTGTGAATTTAAGGATGATACTCCTGATGCTGTTGAACTAAAACAACATTCTGAGCCAAGGAACATGGATAGTGGGAATTGTAGTTCAGCACCATCTGGAGGGAGACAAGTACTCTGTCCCTAACTTAGAATTGGAGACATCTTCCACAGTGGTGGGTTGCCCCCGGATCAGACTGGTTCACAAGAACCGGTAGTAAAACTGGCAGGAGGCTCCGCCCACCGCCCCAGATGTTGTCATAAGTGATCTGCGCATGCGCAGAAGCTCGGCACACACACACACGAGCGAAGCAAGCATGCATGCACGATCCGCGTTGCGAACAGGTAGTTAAGGTAAGTAGAACCCACCCCTGATCCTCCATTGATATGATTTCCAAAACTAACTTGCTTCCTATTCCATAGATTAAAGAA